AAAAATTCAACTTAACAAAAAAAAACAGGATGGATAAACGAACTGTGGTACATCCATCCATACAATGGAATACTATTCAGTAAGAAAATGAAATAAGCTAAAGAGCCATGAAAAAGCAAGGGGAACCTTAAAACACACATTCCTTAGTAAAATGGCTATCTATTACTCCAACTATGTCATTTGGGAAATTTAATTCAAATACTCTTCAACTTACCAATTCCTGTGATCTCTTTTTTGATCAGTTGTAACTCCATATGTTGGATTTTTATTCTTACTAATAAGAAGTAAATTTTTCCAACAATCACATCCTTTAAGTGATACCTTTAGGGAAAGAATATACCTCACTTACTAAATATCCATTTTCAAAACAAACCAAGAGTGAAATATATCCTTCTGAAAATATTAGACATCTTTAGGGTAATAACTATTAAGAATGTCATTGGACTATCTACATTGTTTAATGTGGCTTCTTTTCTAAAGAACTCATCCATTCCCTAGGCAAAGGAAGATAAACCTCAAAGAGAAAGATTCAGCCTGATTTATTGGTCTTACTTAGAGATCAACTTTGTTTTCAGAGAACTTTAACAATTAACTCGGATGTAAAATTAGATTTTTATGCTTGAAATATTTATTGGGTATATGAAGATACTCTTCAACATTAAAAACTCTACACAAGAACTCATTATCCCCAATAATAATATTCATTATTCCAAGTGCCAGAACGCTGCAGCCAACAAACTACCTGGCCACATGAAAGATTGGTAGGGATGTGCCTCACGACAGGTGGAGTAGGTTGTTGTAACCAGTCATCTTCCACAGGTACCCTGAAATGATGGGATAGTCAACCTGTTGTTGTTAGGTGCAGTAACGTTGGTTCCAACCTCTCAGCAGCCTTATGTTCAGGAGAATGGAACACTGCCCTCTCCTGCCACTCTCCCAATTGCTATGTCTGAGATTGTTGCAGCCACTGCATTAATCCGTCTTGTCCAAGGTCTTTTTCCCTGTCTTTCCACTTGACCAAGCATGATGTCCTTTCCCAAGTATAAAGGTGAAACTGAGGAACAGGGAGGAAGACAGACATAACTGACAGGACAAGGGAGAGCAGACACAGAAATAGCTTTATTAGGTGGAGGGAGCTACCGGACGAAGTTCCATGACCTAGGCCAACAGGTCAGGGAAGTCATGCTCAGAAGCTGGGGGCGAGGGTTTTTAAAGGGGTGGTGAGGAATGCAAGGTAATTAGCATATGGGGTCTGGAAATTGGGAGAATTGCTTGGACTCCTGGAAGCTTTTTTCAAACCTAGAACATCTGGTTTCACTGGTTATCTTATCTGGCGGTTATCTTATCTGGAGCCTTCAGCTGCTGACCTTTGGGATGTGCAGAGAAGGACGTGCAGGACCCGGACCTGCTTCAGCTTGGTCCAAACCAGGGCTGCCTAGTTTGGACCAGGCCCACATATTCCAAACTTCTTAATATTGGTAATGGGGCAACATGTTCTGTCTTTAACTACTTCCTGCTGAGATAGGGCAAAGAAGGGGGGATTAAGAGTTGGAAAGTTCGGGGCTGGGCCAGTCGGCAGCGAACTGTAAGGGTGGAGAAGCTGATTGAAGGTCAGGTTGGAGATATTTTTCATTCATTCCTGCAAAAATTTAAACACACACAGAGCTCAAAGTAATAGTACACAGATTATTATCAGAGGTCTTACCGCATGATCCAGGTCATGACAGGGCTTTGAAACCACGAGGAAGGGCTGGTGGTGCCCCACTGACATTTTCTAATTTTTTCGGTCATGTCACGATGGTTTTGCAGGGTTACCTGTGCCAGGGATGTAAGTTGTTGCTGCAAGGAGGTGAGAGGCTCCGAGGTGGGGTCCTTGACTCGCTGGAGTTGTCTGTTAAAGTTCTGTGTTTGGCGCATGCTGTGGTCTACGGCTCTACTAGAAATCTCTGCCGCTTCCAGGGAGGAGGCAAAACTAAGGTTTACAAGGACAAGTAGGAATACAGCTACTTACTAGCCTTACTACTACTACTTGCCTTACTAGCCCTGACTTATTATCATGATAGCGGCATTCTTGAGCTTGTCCCTGCAGGGGGCTAGAGAGACAGGGATGGATTAGGAATGCTGCTCTTCTCGACCTTCAGGTGGGGAGTAACCATGCTAATTCATACTAACCATATAGACTGAGCTGAGGAACCACATACAGTAACTGGAAAACAAGGTTCTTCTGTGGAAAATGTACACATTTAGTGATTTGCTCAGCCAAGGTTGGTGGTTGGAGGTCCTTTATGACTTAGTGTTTATTTAGAGATAAAGTCTGAGTGGTGGGGGTGGGGCACAGGCTTAAACAGACAGCAGTGGAATGAGATAAGTTTGTCTTGGAGTGAGAGAGAAGTTAAGGGAGTCGGCTGTGTCTACTTTAGAACTGTTTTAGGAAGGGGCTGCAGGTAAAGGCAAATGAATGCTGACAAGCTGGGTTAAGGGGGATGGTGAAAAAGGTATAGTGGAAGGGGGAATGTGGGACAAAAGAGTACAGGAGTCGGAACTGCCGGGTATATGGGGATAACAGGCGCAGGTCCTGGACTAAGCAATAAGTACCATTTGGTTTCCTACTGGTAAGATTGGAGTGTTGCAGGGAGAGTGGGTAGGAGTAATGAGGCTGTTAGAAAGGAGGCATTGAATGATGGGTTAACATCAGGAAGCAATGAGGTCTGTAGGGCCAGTTAGTTCTTCCAGGTTGGGTGAAAGAAGGGGGAAGGAGCAGAGGTGCTGTGAGAACTAAAAATAAGGTGTAAGGATGTCCCAAACTAATTTAAATGTCTCTTCCCAACAGAGGAACTGGGCACAAAGGGAGTATAAGTAGGAATGAGTAAAGGGCTAATACACCTGGGGCAGGTAGGCTTGCCATCAACGTTCATGACCGAGATTGAGGAAGGACTGCCTAAACCTGAAAATGAGGGCAGGTCAGAAAAGATAGCTTCTGTGTAAGAAGTAAATGTACTCACCCAATACCTTCAGTAATACCCCAGGCTTGGTGCGAGTGATGGGGGTCCAGTCAGGGTTTCCTCAGACTCCAGCCAATCCCAGTAGGGCCAACAGCGGGTCAGGAATTGGAAGGACAGTCCCCCCACATGGAGACGCAAAGGGCCTGTCGCGTTTCCAAGGACAGTCGGACTTCCAGTGTCAGCTCTGACTGCACACAGGGCAGGGTTTGGCTGGAGCTTTAGGCTAGGGGCACCTCTGTGACCAGTGCCCTTCTTCGCACTTGAAGCAGGCGCCAAATGGTGGTCGCTGTTCCCATACACCCTTGAGCAGGGAGGGAGCCGGGATGGGGAGAGACTCCAGGGAATCTGAGGGGTCTGGTTCGGGAAGGGGGCAGGTATTGGAGGCACAGTGCCTTAGCCTTTGGGTGTTGAGGGGGTAGCAGAGGAGGTGATGGTGAGGGGTACCCAGAATGTGGAGGAGGCCTTACTAGGGAGCAGATAAGGAGTCAGGGGGTCCTGAGAAAAACGGAAGGGGAGTACTGTCAGGCCCCTGATTAAGAGAGTGGCTAAGAGAACTTGAGCAGGGTGACAGGTAGTAGAGACGGGAGCGAAGAAAGAAAAAGACCTGAACATATGGGACTTCTGATTATTTGTGAGTTTGTTGATAAAAATTATTGAGGTTGCGGGGGAACGTTAAAATCGAAAGTGCTATTTTCTGGCTAGCACTCATTGTCCAATTGGTATTGAGGCCACACTTGATTACTGAAAAATACTAGGCATTTAGGGCTGAGATCAAGAGCCAAACCCAATTCAGTAAGGTTGGCAGTAGGCACCCCAAAGGACTGTCCTTAGGGGGTTGTGACAGAAGACTTCACATTGTGTCTCAAACTGCAGGGGGTATGGACAGAGGAGAAGGGTGTCCCCTGGTCCCTGTTTGCACCGTCAGTCAGGAGGTGGCCCAGTAATTATAAGAGGCATCCTGGTCAGAGCTAGGGGCCCAGCGGGAGAGTCCTGGACTCTCTGGAACAGGAAGGTTCCCTGGCACAGGCCTGCGGCTTTAACCAGCAGACAGGGACCTCAGATCAGAAAGAGACAATGGAAACAGAGAAGGGGGAGGGGACCTGGATTTATGGCTGGTAAAGATGGTAGGCCTTTGTTCAACGTCAGAGGAAGGGGAAGCAGAAAATTTTAGCGAAAGCACTACAGGGCCACAGACGCAAAACACACAAACAGGTAGAAAGGGTTCAGACACACCCTCTGCATTCCAGTCCAGGCAGAAGGTGCAGTGACTGCTCGGCAGTGCAAGGAGTGCTGTTATCAGCAGGAATCCCAGGAGGTAAACACAGAGACAAAAGGCTGGAAGCCATTTGAGAGAAGGTAGACACAGAAAAAGATGGACACAATAAACTGGCCTTATCATCGCACCCCTTTTGGGGAAAGGCAGTTATTTCCAACTCCTCTTGGTACTAGGGTTGCAGAATAAACCCCTGCAGCAGTGCCACGTTCAGCTGCTTCCTAGCATACTTGCTTTTCAGGGCTTTCAGCTAGTTAGCCTCCCGCGGACCTTATGTTTCCGTATGAGTTTGCTGGTCCTCAGTGTCCAGAGCGACAAACAAGACAAACGAGATAGAATGAACATACACACAGAGGTACTGACTAGAAGTCGCTCATTCAGACAGGGTCCGGAGGTTCAAGAGGAGAGGAGGGGTGGGCTGCGTCCCAGCCGAAGCAGGGCCGAGGACAGCACGGAGCCCATGTCCCTACCTCTCCCAGGTTTCGGCACCAAATGTAAAGGGGAACTGAGGAACAGGGAGGAAGACAGATATAACTGACAGGACAAATGAGAGCCAAAAAAATAGCTTTATTAGTTGGGAGGAGCTCCCGGACGAGGTTCCGTGACCTAGGCCAACAGGTCATGGAAGTCGTGCTCAGCAGTGGGGGGTGAGGGTTTTTAAAGGGGTGGTGAGGAATGTATGGCAATTATGGCAATTAGCATATGAGGTCTGGAAACTGGGAGATCCTCTTGGCTTTCTTTGAACCTGGAACATCTGGTTTCACTGGTTATCTTATCTGGCAGTTATCTTATCTAGAGCCTTCTGGTGCTGACCTTTGGGATGTGCAGGACCCGGACCTGCTTCAGCTTGGTCCAAACAGGGCTGCCTAGTTCGGACCTGGCCCACACACCAAGGACTGGTCTCCCATGGCAACATGTACAAAGTACGTGAGACTAAGTCTTGCCATGCGTCTAAGGAGCATTTTGGTGGTACCTCTTCAAAGTACGTGAGACCAAGTCTCGCCATGCGTCTAAGGAGCATTTTGGTGGTACCTCTTCCAATACAGATTGGTTTGTTCTTTTGGCATTCTATGGTACTTGCAATATTCTTCGTCAACACTATGATTCAAATACATCGATTCTTCAGTCTTCCTTATTCAACTTTCATATGCACATTAAGCATTTGAAACTGCATGACTTGGGAGAGGAGTAGCTTAGTCCTCAAAGTGATATCCTTGTTCTTCAACACTCTAAGGGAGTCTTGTGCAGCAGATTTACCCAATGCAATATGTCTTTTGATTTCCTTACTGTTGCTTCCATGAGCACTGATTGAGGATCCGTGAAAGATGAAGTCCTTCACAACTTCAATCTTTTCTCCATTTATGTTACCTACTGATCTAGTTGTGAGAATTTGGTCCTCTTTCCCATACTGATGCTGAGAATTTCTAAAATCCCTAGAGGAGATTTTGCTTTCTCCTGATGTCAGATCTCAAAATAATACCCCAAAGGTTAAGTAATGCAATATGTCAATGTGAAGAGTGACTTCAACTGACAAGTTTTAGGTCCCAACCTTTCTGGTCATTTTGAGCAGCAATATGTTTTAAGATTCTGAAGGCACATGTATCACATTTTTATTGATAAAAATCTGGGAGTGACAGTTAATATGTTATATAATAGCCTGGACAAATGGAAAAATATCAACAATAAAATCATATATTGGAAGAATATGGCAAAAGGATTAGACAGATTTGTAATGTTAAAGAAAAAAGCGAAAAATCTATCAAATGAAATGTGAACCCTTTTCAAATACCACTTTGAACAAACCATGTGGGGGGAAAAAAGACATTTATGAGACAACAGGAGAAATGTGGATATTTGATGATATTAATGAGTTGTTCATATATAGGTATATTAATGGTACTGTGGTTATATTACAAATGACACATATTCTTAAATTATATGATATCTGGGACATGACTATAGACAGAACAAATCCCACCATTGTGGGATACAGAAAGATTTCTCCCCAGGTTGCTCTCCAAATATATGCCAAACCTGAGGCTGCTTGCTACACATGGTAAATGACTGTACACTTGGAGGTCATCACAAGCCATTTAGAGGTTATTCTCCCTGGGTGTTATCAGCCATCTAGAATAATCAGCCTATATACTCTGTCCCACCCTAAGTAGGGCCCACTCCCTTCTGATAAGGATAGTAGATTGTTTCCCTGAAGGAGAGCCCAGTGAGGTCAAGCCCACTCAAGGGTGACCAAGCTTAGACTGCCATCTTGAGTTTAGGGTCCGCCCATATTGTCACGTGTACCTCTAGTCCCACCCCTTACTATTAAGTGTACACCCCTAGCTCATCCCCTTCCTGTCATGCATATGTCTATAATACAGCCCCTTCCTGTGACATATGTGGTTACCTGTAATCACGCCCTTAAGTATATACAGGCCTTGGTCAGAAATAAAAAGAGACGCTATCTCCTCCCCTCCCCGTCCTCCCACTCCCTGCCCGGACCTAACTGCTGAGATCATGGCCGTCCCAGAGGTGAGCATGCTACCATAAGGTTTGACTCCTTTATTTTACTCTCTCCTATTTCTCCTATCTGCCATGACTTTACTATGATCTCTATAGATTATAACCGTACAATTGTTCCTATGGACCCCCATGGATGTTAGAGGCTGGTCTACTCTAACACCATGTATTGATATTTGCTGAAATTGGGCAGCTTTGGCATATGTTTTAAATTTTCTAATAAGTTTTAAAAGCATTAATTCATTGGCTTTTCTTATATGAGTCAATTTCTACAAAAAGACAACATATATAAACATATATGTCATACCCTAAAGGAAAGATATACAAGATGAAATTATTTTGTGCCATCAAATCAACTCTCTTATATTGACTCAACAGGACACAGAGAACTGCCTCACAAAGGGTTTCCTAGGTGGAAGCTAATGGCGCTGGTGGGCAGGTCTTGCTCCTGTAAAGCAGCTGATGGGCACAAGCCCGACCTCTCAATTAGAAGCTGAGCATTTAACACTACGCCACCAGGCTCCTCAAGACATTAATAGCAATTAAATGGTGAGCTTAAACGTGTTACTTTTTATTTCCTAACTTTTCTGGTGCCCTGGTAGCATAGTGGCTACACATTGGGCTGGTAACCATAAGGTAAGCTGTTCAAAACACCAGCATCTCCCCGGGAGGAAGACAAGGCCTTCTACTCCCATAAAGAGTGACAGTCTCAGAAACCCAGAGGGGCAGTGCTACTCTCCTCTAGGGTCACTACGAGTCTGCAGCAACTTGATGGAAGTGAGTAAGACATTTCCGCATCCTCAAAGTTTATCAGTAACGATAACGATTAAATAGTCTGACAAAGATATTTTTAGTTTGTTCTTATAAAGTAGTACCAACACTATGGGACTGGCTTGCTTGTGAGATGGTGAGACCACCTGGAAAAAGCGGTCAAATAGATACTTAGCAGGACCAGAGTAAGAAAGATACCCGCACCAAGCTGAGAGCCAGAACAAGTCAATGATTGTTTGTTTACACCAAATGCTTGTCAATTCTATCCTTACTTCCACCTATTTTCAAGGGACTGAAAAGGTGATTTCTTCATTTTCCTAAAAGATTTAAGTTATCCACTTGCAAGACACTTACTTTGACTTATTATATTCAAATTCTATATGTAGACAATCTTCAATGCCCACTTCCATCTTAATCGAGTTGTTAACATCAGGATAGGTGGCAAGCTGGTGAACAATGAGGTCATACTCTTTTACCAAGTCTGTCAGCCGTCTTACTATTGTCACCTTAAGAAAATACCTACAAAGTTAATGAAGAGGACAGTTAGTTCTTGTAGTAGGTCAATGTTTTAAATAAGCGGACACCAACTGCAGAGGATTCCCTTTCCTGCTGAAACTCCAGGACCAACTGATAGTATCATTACTTATGAAGGAGTTTTTCTTTCTTTCTTTTTTTTTTTTTAACATTTTATTAGGGGCTCATACAACTGTTATCCCAATCCATACACACATCAATTGTGTAAAGCGCATTTGTACATCGTTTCTCAAAACATTTTCTCTCCATTTAAACCCCCGACATTAGGTCCTCATTTTTCCCCCTCCCTCCCCGCTCCCTCCCGCATGAGCCCTTGATAGTTTATAAATGGGTATTTTGTTATATCTTGCCCTGTCCGACGTCTCCCTTCATCCACTTTTCGGTTGTCTGTCCCCCAGGGAGGAGGTCACACACAGCTCCATGTAATCGGTTCCCTCTTTCCTACCCATTCTCCCTTTACCCTCCCTGTTTTGCCACTCACACCACTGGTCCTATAGGGCTCATCCGTCCTGGATTCCCTGCATTTTCAGTTCCCATCTGTACCAGTGTACCTCCTCTGGTCTAGCCAGACTTGCAAGATCGAACTCGAGTCATGGTAGTGGGAGCGGGGAGGAAACACTTAGGAACTAGAGGAAAGTTGTATTCTTCATCATTGTTACATCGCACCCTGACTGGCTCATCCCCTGAAGGAGTTTTTCTTACAAAGAAAAACTGACAGTAAAAGAAAATACAAGCTCAATTTCAAGAATTGTGTAGATAACTTTTCAGAAGAGTTTGGCTAGCTCTCAAGCAAACTTGAGGGAATCTTTTATTAACCACATACTAAATGAGATTCCTAAAACCAAACACTGGTAAACCAATGAATTCAGAGGGCTATTCAGTTGACACCACAAATGAATAAAACTTGCGGGACAATTCGGACAAGGGAATTCAACCGAAAGAAAAAGCCTTGTTACAAAACATTGAAAGCTTTATTACACACAAAAATCAAAGTGTGAAGCTATTGCTTCTCAATGTATCCCTCCATTTATGTCTACATACTACCAAAGGCAGTATTTATTTAATCTATGACTTTCATCTATTTACAGGGCCTGAAAAGCTGATCTCTTCATTTTCCTAGAATATTTAAGTTAGCCTCTCTCTAACCTTTCTATGAAGAATTCTGTGCTCTTCAATTTACCTTATCAAGAAAGCATTTTTGGCATCCTCAAGAAACTCAAAGTATGGTCCTTTTAAAGGGTCTTTGAGTTTGAGAACAAAAAGAATTCTGAAGAGACAAGATCAATGCTGTAGAGTGGATGGGTGAAGGTTTCCCCTTATGATTCTCCTAGCGCAGTCCTTGCTACCTGCAATGAAAAAGCCAGTGTGTTGTGGTGATAGGAAATAATTCCTCAGGGCCACTTTCCTGGCCTCTTTTCTCAGTGATCTAGTTTTCAATTTTCTTATAATTTCTTCATGAGGCTCCCATGATCATTCTTTGTCCTTTGAGAAAAGCTATCAGGATTACCCCTTCAGAGTCCTAAAAAACACCCCCCATAACCTTCTGAGCTGACCTCCCTGCCTTGAATTGAATTGGGTTAGCAGATTCCCTTGGAAACCACTGTTGGTTTTAAATCTTTTACAGTTTATTTATTAATGAAATATGTTATTATCCCTCAAAAGCTATAAAGACCATTTAACCTTATTTTGTTGTTTTTCCATATGGTAAGCATTGCTCTTTCCCTAACCCAGTGGTTCTCAACCTGTGGGTCCCGACCCCTTTGGGGGGGTCACCTAAGACTATTGGAAAACACATAAATATTTCACAGTATGTAATTACATATTATTTTGTGATTAATCACTATACCTTAATTATGTTCAATTTGTAACAATGAAAATACATCCTGCATATCAAATACTTACATTATGATTCATAATAGTAGCAAAATTACAGTTATGAAGTAACAACAAAAATAATTTTATGGTTGGGGGTCACCACAACATGAGGAACTGTATTAAAGGGTCTTGGCATTAAGAAGGCTGAGAACACTACCCTAATCCCTTATCAAAGGAAGAAAGAAAAAACAACTATGCACAAACCAAAGCCACTGAATATGAAACAAAGCTCTAAGAAAATAATTATGTATCTAAAGTAGCACACAAGGAAACTACTGTTTTAATTAGACTTTCTCTGAATGAGACCAAGACAAGTGTATTACTGATCCGAGAGGCATATTTAAACAATGTTGTTTGGGATAAATTCAATGTGTGTATGAACTGGGACTAGTACTATACTTTTTGTCTTACCCTCATACATCAAATAAATCACACTGGGGACCCAGTTATGGATACTTTCTAGATATAGCTAAAGCAAGACTGGCTTTCAGGATTTGAAGGCTTAGGGCCATCATCTCAGAGGACACAAAGAATATGCTCTACATACATCCCAATGTGATGCCTAGTGTTCCAGGTCTTAAGACAGCCACCTAAAGTACAACTATTGGTCTCAACTCACCCACAACAAAAGAAAAAAGAGACCAAAGTCTCAATGAGTATACAGTGCACATAAATCTAGCCCCAATCCAAGAATACTTCATTCTTCTAACATGGCACTGCTGCATACTCGCCTTCATGAAGAGATCATTGAAGATAAGGGTGCTACAGCAGAGTGGTGAAGAAGCAGATGGTACCAGGCTATCAAATGGAATAGTCTGGGGTGTTTAAAGGCTTGTATTTAAACAAGCAACCATCTAAGTAAGGCGTCAACTAAGTCCACACAGAAGCGGCACGCCAGCCTGTGTGAACCACAAATGACAATAACAAAATCCAAATATGAACACACACTTTGTAAAAGGCTATGGAAGACAATGGGATCCCAAAATTCCTCTGCAGAGTGCCTAGTCAGATTAAGCCTCTGGTAGATCCCCTCTAGTCACAGGTAAGGGCCTTGCACAGCTTTACTGGCAGATTATTGTATTATAAACTTGATTATGGTGGAATGAACAATGGTATGATACTTGACCTGATCTGAATTTTCTCCAGGCTCAAATAGTTCTCACTTGTTCCATGACAGATATTTCTTCTCTGGCTTTTTAAATATTGTTGGTGGTCTTTTCTTTCTTACTTTTTATTTATATCTTTATATTACTTGTTTCCTTTTGTGCTTCTTTTATTATTGTTTCTGTTGGGTTTCCCAGTTCGTGAAGCACAGGAGTGCTTCTAGAGACAATGAGCCGAGGCACTGGTTTATTGGGAAGGGGGTGAGGATCAAGCAACGAATTTGGGAAGCAGGAAGGGGCACTAGAACTGACTGTGATGATGTATATACAATTTTTTTAAAATCATTTTATTAGGGACTCATACAACTCTTATCACAATCCATACATAACACTGATTGTGCAAAGCACATTTGTACATTCATTGCCTTCATCATTCTCAAAACATTTGCTCTCCATTTAAGCCCCTGGCATCAGCTCCTCATTTTTTTCCCTCACTCCCCTATACAATTCTTTTTAAAAGTGATTTAATAATGGAAGTGAATGAGATGTGAACATTGTATCAGGAAGACAACTAAAAAGAAAGAAGGAACCAAACTTGACCTATGGTTATCATGGAAAAAGGAGAAAATTTTTGCTATTAATAGTAGAGGAACAATTTATAGACAGATATCAATAACGGTTGTCCAACATGAAGAGTATAATCTATGGCACTGAATAATACATGTAGAAGTTGTTAGAGAATGTTTTGTTGTGTATATTTTTGCCAAAATGGGGGGAGGGATAACACAAATAATGGTGAGTACAGGAAAAAGAAAATGTTATAAAATTGATTAAAGACTGTAAAACTCTTCTTGATATGACTAAACTATTGAGTTGTATGAAGTGCCAATAAAACTGTTTTTAAAAATGACCCAGTGATGTAAGTAGTCTACAAGGTTAATCATCTACATGAACCACAGCCTCGTCAACTTTGAAACCAGAAGAACTACCACAGTGCTATGCAAATAATGCACGATATAATGATCCACAAATTATGTGCAAGCCCCTCAGGTGTCACGCTTCCTTGTACTGTACTTCCAAGTACTGTGATATATGTGTATACTTGTTCTTTCTGTGGCCCCATTAAGTGGGAGAAGAGAGATACAGCCAGTGGTGACCAACTAAGACTACCGCCATCTGAGCAAGGCCACAACAGATGGATCCTGAAAAAACAGAAGGAAAATGTGGAACAGAACTGAAATTCTTTAAAAGTCTGTATTTACCGGGCTGGCTAAGTATAAAGGTCTCCTTCAGATGAACACCCTGAAAACAAAATTATTTCATTTTAAACCTATATTATCCCTTGAGGTCCCTTGTAGCTAAATAAGACTGGTTCATAAGATAAAAAATGTTGTTAGGTGCGACTCATAGCAACCCTATGTACAACTACACTGCAGTACTACCTATAAGTAATGAGCTACAATCAACATCCGCTTCATATGACCAAAAGGTCAACAACTATTCTAAAGCACAGATAAGAAAAGAAAAGAGGGACACTAGAATGTAATGAATGGGAATGATGACACATTGAGAAGAATGCCACTATCGGGAGGGAGGGGAAAAATGAGGACCTAATGTCGGGGGTAAGTGGAGAGAAAATGTTTTGAGAATGATGTACAAATGTGCTTTACACAATTGATGTGTGTATGGATTGCGCTAACAGTTGTATGAGCCCCTAATAAAACATTTAAAAAAAATTTTTTTAAAAAGAATGTCACTGTATCACTGAATAATTTGCATAGAAATTGTTAAATGGGAATTTGCTAGGTAATATTTTACCTGAAATGCACTATTAATCTTAAAATAAATAAAAGAAAATTAATAAATAATATCATATCATTAAAAAATAAATCTTAAGTCTTCCAGTCCAGGTTTGTAATTGGAAAATGGGAGTAGAGGATGGTGCAGGACTGGGCATGCTGCTGTAAGTCAGAACCAACTGACCAGCACCTAACAAGAAGACATTCAATAGTAGCGGTTACTTACTGGTTTCAACTCTGTTTACAACTTCTAGTATACTGTAACATACATACCTCAAGCGGACATTGGCACCAATGTAAGATTCATATGGCTTTTCAACTTGCATAAATTCAAAATCATAACTTCTGCTCTGAGTCAATTCTCCAGGTAAAGCCAGTTCTTTTACTAGGTTTACAAATTCGTGAGTATTACTCTTGTCATTGAAAAGTTCTAAGAAATTTTAAAAAGCAGAAAGACCAATTATATTTAATAGTCATTTCAATAGAAGCCAAACTTCTACCTCCAGAGCAAATACTTTTTACCAGCACACTTAGATTCATCTCTTATAAACTAGAGATGGTCTGAATTCCATTAACCTCATAACTATGCTCTACCTGCACATAAAAAGTTCAATTAACATAGCACAGGTTTATTTCAAAAACAATGAATAAATAAATAAATAAAACAATGAGTTCATTCCCTTGAATGACTGGACTGTGTTGATATACTGTCAGGTATTTCTTTAACTTTCTTCAGAAACTGTTTTCTTATTTTGGTTTGGGCAGATATATTTCCTTAATAAATTACAAGACACAAAAAACTAAAACCAATTACATTTCATTATTACAATTTGTCCTTCAAGTACAATCGCATTCAGAACAGATATGTAAACAAATAGTCACCAACTCCAGTTTTGACACATGAAAGACATACAGTACAACTTAGGAAGTGAAAATTAAAAACCAGTGAGGGAAAGTGTCAAAAAGACAGGCTTTTTTTCTCTTTTCTAAATCTGCAGTCCCAAAGATTTACATACAGTTTACCTTTCTGCTAAACCGAGGAATGAAAATGTACATACGAAGCTGATCTCCACCAAGAAGAAATTACACCTTTCCTTCCCACATGGAATTTTCTGGCTACATACACACTAGAAGTCGGGGAGGCAAATGGCATGGCTAATTAGAAAGGGAAGATGAAGGTGAAGTTGGTGAGTGTGAGTGAGGCTGGTGAGAAATGTAGGCAGACGGAAGTTTCAGTGAGTCAATTAATTCACTTGAATTAATTTTCAAGGCTGCTAGCATATATAATATCCTTCATTTTTCTAGTAATTAGGTCTAATAACAAAGGCAGGATATGTCAAACATCATTTAATACAAAATGATTTAATAGGTTTATGAAATAAATCCTATCCATTATGTAAAATCAATTCCTTCTTTCCACAAAGCTAAGTTCAAATTCAACTACTTGTGGGCCAATCTAACCCTCTTCACATTCAGTTATCAGAGGAAAAAAAAGGAATACTATTTTAAAACTCACCAATTTGACCTACAAATTCAATTCTAATTCCTTGGTGCTCTAGCCTCTTTCCAGGTTGCTTAAAGGCTAGGTTTACCTGCCAAAACATGAAATTTTAAGAGATGTTAACAATCCGTGGAGTGGGTCTACTAGCAGATTCCTCCCAGATTAATGCAATAAAGAATTATTTCAGGTATTCATGTCTAAAGTTGAGTCACCACTACATTCCCAGATCAGAATGATCTGATAGCCCCACACAAAGTATAATTTATTCATACGCAACCACTAATGGATCTATTAGTCGTACATTCACTTAATGTAATTGCTTGGTTAAAAAGAAATCCTTCACAGTTGGGGAAATGTGAAAGGGCGAAATACAAGAATGGAGGGGTGGGGTGGGGGAAGATACAGGACAATCATGAGGTTGTTATAAGGAAGAAGTTTTTAAAAATTAAAATCTTTAATAGTTAAAAAAAGAAAGTTGCACCAGGGAATTTATTTCCATCGTGATAATTCACTTGCTCATTCTTTGAGGGCAGCAATAACTATCCTAGGATAACTTTGTCAGGAACTCTTCTCTCATCTACCCTACAGCTCGGATCTTGCCCCTTCAGACTTCTTTTTGTTCCCCAAACACAAAGAACATTTAAAAACAAAATGATTTGAGTCCCTCAAGGATGCCCAAACTGCTGTGTTGACATGGTGAAAATCAGAGCACACAGAATTATTCTGGGAAAGGTTTAAGGAGGTGGGGATACCACCTTTAGGTGAAGGCTGTGCTCCAAAAATAAGAGCTTTTTGATACATTTGTTTAAATGTATCATGAAATGTATCATTTCATTCTCTTTATAGTAATACTTTTTGACTATCCTCATGTTGTTCTAAATCTTAACCTTAAAAGCAATGCATATTGCCAAGTCTGTCACTGTCACTCATCCTGAAAATAGAATGTCTATAGACTTAAAAATTCAATTTTGAGTATTACTGATCTTATTCATGCTTCTAAAGAAAAAGATGTAATCTCAAAATTCCTGAACTCATATATCTGCCAAACGGAAACATTAAATTTATAATTTTTTAATGTGAAAAGTTTCTGGAACTTACACATTAAAAACAACATTCCATATGTTTATGGATTAGTTAATAATCTTTTTTCATACAAAACAGCATATTTATAATGCTTACTTTTTAATAAATACTGGCAACATGACTCTTAAAGAGTTTTTCTTCCAAACAATGTTTCTCAAAAGATCCTAGAAATTAAGGACCAATAAAACAAGGGCCTAATTAAAATATTCACTCTCCTACAGCAACCACCTCTGTAACCAGGATGAATTAGTTACCTCAAAGAACAAGTAAACTTTGATACATTCATTTGAAAGATTATTAAATGTTTAAAAATAAGTGTTGAATAATTTGTAATGATATAGAAGACAGGCATGACTGGTTACATGAAGGAAGCATGGTCAGAACTGTACAAAGTATAGCCCCAGTTATTATGTTTAAAAATCATAGACAACCTCAAAAAAAAGAATAAATAAATAAAATAAAAACTATAGACAGTAAATACTCTTAACAGCAGTTACTTCTGATTATGGGTAGTTTGTGCTTTCCTCTTTAGAGTCTGAAATAGTAGCACTCTAGTAAAGAAGAGCACTTAGAGAAGCTTTAGAGAGCTCCAAACACGGCTGCTGACACTGATTCTGACTCCGAGTGGAACTGCCTGGGGGTTCTCAGGAGCGGAAATCCTCATCTTTCTCGAGGGGAGTGGCTGCTGGTTCCAAACCGCTAACCTTGCAGTTACAACCCACCCTATAACCCACTATGCGATCAGCTCCTTTAGCAATTTCACATACCTTAACAAATTGAATTTTAGGTTTGAACCAGAAATAAAACAAGCTGAATTCCCAGCTGTTTCCTATGCCAGACAGTAATTAAGAGCTGCTCCTAATTTGTACCAATAAGACACAAACGAAAAGCAGTATATTTTTTAAATGTCTATTTGACAGCTGGTTTTTGAGAATGCTTTTATTAGTTTGCAGATGGCCGTGTCTGATGTTTTAATCATGGCGTGGGCAACGTTTTGGCAAGAAAGCCACAGTAGTGCTCTTGTGCCTTTCTCAGGGTTATCTTGGTCAGACAGTCCATCCGACATTGTTGATGGTAACTCAGTTACAGGGATATACTAGGGTTCTCCACTGTAGTTACTATTTTTACCTCCCATGAATAATTTATATGGAGATATTTACATATATGCAAATATATTTTTAAAACCATTAAAACCGTGCTGAGAAAAGGGGAATCTACAAATATACATTACAGCTGTATTAAACCTGTTTCAAAGCTCATACTTCGGACATATAATGTGCTATGTATGTCTCAAATAATACTGTCTAAAGGGAGGGGAGTTCTTCCAGATTATGTGTACCACACACGTAATCAACAAACTACAAGCCGTTTAGAGAGGCGCCACGGTATTTGGACATTATTATTGCGTGATATCATGTATAGAGAGCGTGATTCATATTCATGATGACAACAGTACTATGAAACTATACCTTTAAAAAACTGTTGAAACAGCTACACCATAAATGCCTATCATCGCAGACCAGCGTAAGCGTTCATTCTCTTTTACACAGGAATCAATGCACAGTTCTCTGTACGTGACTTGGCACTAGTATCATCACTTCAAGGTTTCTAACTTTTCATAGGCCAATCTGCCCCCCATCTGAAGTCAAATAATTAAAAATCTTTTATAAATGGAATTTAAAAAAATATATATATATATATAATAAATGGAAAAATAGTAAACTTTGATTTCTAAGTTGACCTACCACTTTGAATCAATTACCAACTATCTTATTACAAAATATTAATGATTACTTGCTTTAGAGATATAATAAAAGGCTCTCTTATTCTCTGCCTGCTGACAGTTGCACGTGCATATTTATAGAATGAATAATTTTCTCAGCAGTACCTACAGTTTAAGAAGACTTATTTTCATATGAAAAAGCAATGCAGGAGAAAAAATAATTCCTTCAAATTGCTGTGAGGTTACTTTTGAAGGGAAGTGGTTGTGATTGGATTGGAACCCATGGGGTGACTCACAAAGTTCTACTTTGTTTTTGTGTTTGTTTGTTTTTTAAGTTCTACTTAAAGTGATGTTTTAAGAAAATATGCTCTATACTATTTTTGTTTTATTTTACAAGGAAAAAAGTTTTAATAGAAACAACTCAGGATCATGTCTATCTATATAAGAGAGGGAGGATAAACAATCCAGAGGAGAAAACAACAGGATTGACAGTTGCGGTCAGGGGGGGCATGGGAGAGAGGGAGGTGGGGGAAATGAAGGAAGGAGCCAACAAACCCAGGGACAAGGGAACAAGAGATCTAAAATCAATGG